ATATGAAATGATGATTTGGGTTAAGTGTTCCTACTTAACCCATTAAGGGCTTAATCCATTAAGTCCATTATTAATTTAGGTTAATTTACCAATAATTATTATTTAATATTTCAAGTTATTAAATAATCTCGTGTATATCCCGATTAAATTCTCAAAATTAGGGTTTTATGCCATTAGGGTTTTCCAAACCCTAATTAAGGTTTTCCAACCCAATACTAGCCCATGTGTCCATTGGTTGGGCTTTTTGGTCACATTGGGCCTTATTGGGCCCATTAGGGTTTCATTGGGGCCATATTGTCCAAACATCCTCCAACGAGGTCCAAACGTAATCAAAGCACACTGCCACTCGACACGGCGACCGGTGGTGGCAGGAGGCGGCAAGTCGGCAACCACCAAGAAATGCGATGGTGCTCCAGCGTTATCTGGTCATTCATGATGTCACAGCCAGCATGGGGCTGTGGTGTTGCTCGACGGCTGTAGTGATGATGGTTGTAACTCAACGGAAAGGGAGTAGCGACGGAAACGATAACTGTCACCGATCTTGGTGGCTCTCCCGGTTATCGATGACGTCCAACAGGAGGGTAGCACGAACAGGTTGTGTTGACGTCTCCGCAGACAGCCGTTTGGCATGTCGTCAGTTAGAAAACGAGAGAGAAACGGGTGGTGGTGCGGCGTCGGGTTTGAAGGAGGAGAGTGAAGATGTAGTTGGCGGCTGAAGCACCCATTTAGGGTTAGGGTTTAGAGAAGGTGGCGGGTGGGAGGTTATATACCTGTCTCTTACAAATTTCCCCATATTAACAAGATCAGTCCCTCCATCCCCCAATTCTTTCAAAACCAATACATAATTTACCAATTAGACCCCATCTTCTGAAAACCTTTCCAAATTAAGTCCAAAATGTTACCAATCAACCCCTTAACTTATTAAAATTTTTACAAATTAAGTCCCAAAATTACACTTTAACCCCCGAAGATTCAAATCTTGCAATTTGACTTCCCGAAACCAACACTATATTAATTATTATTCGATTTTGGGCAATAGTAATATAAACAAATAATAAAATTTACTTCTCGGGCTCCAAGTTCATTATCTAATCATCTTGTTTTAAACGGGATGTTAAAACTCTACTATATTCTTCCTTCTTTCCCTTTTATTGGGATGGTGTTGAATCCTGACATCATGTAGAATTTGACCACTCCATGAATGGTACACGCGATGACCCTAAATTTGTGTATTGCTGATCTTCTGAATATAACATCATAAAACGTGGATGCATTAATAACTGAAAAGGTGTATCATTCATTGCCTTCCAAAGAAACCTATACAAGAATACATACACACAAGAGAGCCAGATGGGCCTTATATACAAAGAGGCCGAAACTGTACATATAATCAAGATACATATAATTGATTCCATTAACTGTCCACTAACATCCCCCATAGTTTGAACGGTAGCTTGCCAAACATTCAAACTGTTCCTAAAATCATGAAATAAAAGTGTAAGGAAGACCCTTGGTGAAGATGTTTGCATACTAAGAAGATGATTGAACATAAAGGACTCGAACAACACTGGTAGCGACCTGATTTTGAACAAAGTGAATATCAATCTCTATATGTTTGGTGCGTTGGTGTTGTACCAGGTTAGAAGACATATAGACTGCACTGATGTTATCGCAGTAGACAATGGTAGCTTTGGTGGGTGGAGACAAAAGTTCTCAGAGGAGATTACGAATCCAACAAGTATCTGCAACGACATTTGCAACCCCTTTGTATTCTGCTTTGGCACTAGAACGGGATATGACTCCCTGGCATTTAGAAGACCATGAGATGAGGTTATCACCAAGAAAAATTCAGTATCTAGAAGTAGATCTACGGGATACAGGACATCCCCCTAATATGCATCTGAGTACGCTGTAAGAGCAGAATGGGATGATACGTAAATGTGAATGCCATGATAGATAGCACCACGTATATACCATAGAATATGTTTGAGAGCGTGGATATGTGGCTCTCTCGGATCATGCATAAATAAGTATATCTACTAGACAACAAATGAGATGTATGGTCTAGTAAATATAAGGTATTGTAGTGCACTTGCCAGACTTCGATATAAAGAAGGATCAGAGATAGGTTTCCCGTCAGTAGGTGGTTTGTGAGTAGTCTCGACTGGAGCATGTTAGCTCGCTGAAGAATATCAGTGGCATACTTTGCTTGAGAGAAAAGGGACTGGTAGAGTTGTAGGTGGCAGATATCCCTATAAAGTAGTTAAGATGACCCAAATCAGTCATGGAAAATTCTTTACTGATACGAGATATAATCTACTGTAGAATATGATTGGAGGATCCTGTGAGTATGATATCATCTACATATAGAAGTAGATAGGTCGTGTGTTGACCAGAGCGGTAAACAAAAAGAGATGGATCAGTACGACTGTGTGAGAAACCCAACTGAGAGGTATGAGCAGCAAATCGGTGATACCAAGCCCATGGAGCCTGTTTGAGGCTGTATAAAGAGCGTTGAAGGAGACAAACATGGCCCAGGTGTTGAGGATGATGAAACCCAGGTGGTTGATGCATATAAACAGTCTCCTGAAGGGTGCCATGGAGGAAAGCATTCTTCACGTAGAGTTGGTGAATCGGCCAACTACAGGAGATTGCAAGGCTGAGGACGGTGCGGATAGTAGCTGTTTTGACAACCAGACTGAAATTCTCATCACAATCTATGCCTGGTTGTTGACTGCGTCCGTTGGTAACTAGATGAGCTTTATAGCGAGAGAGAGAGAGAGAGAGAGAGAGAGAGAGTCCCATCCGCATTGAACTTTTGCTTAAATAACCACATGGATTGAACAATGTTTACTCCGCTCGGTCTTGGAACCAGAATCCAAGTGCAATTTGAAATTAGAGTATGATATTACTCGTCCATGGCTTTATGCCAGTGGGAGTCTTGTAGTGCCTGCAAATTTGACCATGGGATAGGGGATATGGAGGTGGTGTTAAGATTTAAATGATCAATGGGTTTGTAGATGCCACTTTTGGATCTTGTGCACATTGGATGAGTTGGGGGTGGATTTTGTGTGATGTTTTGGGAGGTCGTATTTGATTTGGGATTGAATTGAGAAGGTGAGATGGGGTAGTTTTTGGTTTGAGAGGAAAATATAGCGTGAGATGTGGAGTTGTAAGGAGAGGTGTTAGAGTGTACTTGTGAGGGTGGAGAGTTAGAGGTGGTGTTTTGGTTAGTGGTGGTGTACTCAACGGTTGAGATAGGAGGAGGAATAAAGAAATATTAAGTGAAGAGAGAGGAAGACTCTAATTTGTTTTCAATAAATTGATATGAGGTGGGGGGGTTATTAGGAGTGAGGGATCCATATGGGAAGATACTTTCGTTAAAAATGACATGATGGGAGATTGGTAGAAAGATCATAACATCAATACCCACTATGGAGGGAAGGGTAACTTAGGAAGATACATGGAGTGGTGAGTGGTTGAAGTTTGTGAGAGGTTGTGACGTGTGGGTAACAAAGATAACTGAAGACTCTTAGATTGGAGTACGATGCATGATGTTTGAAGAGGTGGAAGTATGGTGTGCCATTTTGTATTGAAGTTGAAGGGGTGATGTTAAGTAAGTACATGTCCATATGAAGGGCTTCCACCCAAAAATAGGATGGAAGGTGGGATTCAAAGAGAAGAGTGCGAATGACGTTGTTTATTGTACAAAGCATACGCCAGATTTACTATATTGTTGAGATGTATGTTGGCATGAGAAACAAAAAACAATGCCATTTTTTACAAAAAAAATCATGAAATATTTTGTTGTCTGTCCTAAGCTCTTGATTTTAGATTCTACCGACAAAATACTCTCTAGTTATTTGGGGCGCAACCCTCTTATTAGATCGCTCGGCTTCCCTGCTTGGACATTATTTTTTAGCTCCCTTTTGAGTATAGTACATTCGGTGGTATCATGCCTGGTAGAGTCATGGAACTCACACTATTTATTGTGTTCCCTATCGTTCAAAATGTTTCCTTCCTTACTCTATCATTCTTCTTGCTTTCATCAAATATTGCCACTTCATTTGTGCCTTGAGTTCTTGCTGATGTGTAGTTTCTCCCTTGTTGTGGGAACCTTGTTTATCGTTCCATCCTGGTGTTACAATATCTTTGTTTTTCTTGGTTTGACGGTTTGATGTATGGCATGCCAGTGTCTTTGTTAGTGAACATCTTATCCCTTTGATCACTCTTTATTTTCTCGGACGCTGTTTCTTCTTGCTTCATGAATCAAAGAACCCCTTCCATCATGTATTTCCTTGACTTAGGTGGTTTTCCCACCAGTTTCTTGAACAAGACTTTGGGACGTAATGTGTAAGTGAAAGCGACAATTATGATGTTGTCTGCTTATTTTGGTGCATTAAGTGTGGCTTTGTTGGATAGATACACAAAGGCGTGTAATGAATCATCCTCTAGCTTTTTTCATCCTAAACTCTTCTCACACATGGTTGAATTTGTGTATACTTTTGATTGGTAGGCTCTTATACCAGAGACTAGTTGATCCTGACAGTGTGGTTGGGAAGAATATACACCCATATTTTTCATCCAGGTAGTAAGCATCCATTGTCCATTAATAGTTTTCAATATGATCACCAGGATCGCCCAATCCATCGTAATTTGAAATTTCAGGTAAGTTCGTACCCGTTGGCAGTTCGCATTCCCGAATACTTCTTATGAGGGGTGAATTATACGATCTCTGGACACAATAATGGTTGATGTTTTTGTTTATTTCTAAAGATGTCCCATTGTTTGTTGCCTGTCGCGCCCATTGTATTTATGGTGTTGCTTGGTTTCCAAAAATGGCTTGGGGTACATATGTTTGTTTGGATTGTTGTGGCCAAAATTTATGGTATTGCATGTATGAGAATGGTGGTGGCATTGGTATGTATGGTTGACCAGTTTGTTGCGTCGATATTGTGGTTATTTCCAGATTTTGTTGTAAAAGGGGTGGTAAGACTTATATGTTTAACTCATTATCTCTTAGATTTGACTTGGATGACCTTTTGGGTGCGCTTGGTTACCTTGTGCTAGAAATACTTGCTATTTCTACAATGATAAACTTTGTTTGTCTGGTTTTCCTCGCTTCTACTTGTGGTTGTTTTTGCGGGCCTTTATCAGGTTGCACGTTTTTCGGAGAGATGTTTGTTATTGTTCATAAAGATTTTCTTAGAAATGGTGGGGTGGTACTTGGTGACGTCGTTGCATTTGGGGTGAACATTGGAATTAGATTGATTAGGCTAAAAGGTGAGTCACATTTTCGACGTGAAACTATTTGCTTGTCTTGCATGGTGATTTCGAATTACATCAATGATGCTACGCAGCTTCCCGGACTAGCGATTCATGCACTAGAGATTCTATTTGGTGGTGCTACATAGGAAGTTACATTGAAAATTAAGTGAAACACTAGGTTAGGAAGCACTTGTAACGGATAGACCCATGTATTTCTCTCTGATGCCTAAGTTAGATATCATACATGAAAGTTGCTTAATTGTTAATGAATGTATTCTCCTCTCTTACCGATATATGTCGAGGTATGTATACATGGATGAAGGAGTCTTAACCTCTTGGGCATTGATTTTAACCAGGTAATGATGTTGTCCGGAGGTTATAAGGGTAGTACCCTCGAATATAATTAATGTATTTTCCATGTTTCCCGGGATGCACCTAGGTACTTGCACAAATTATTTATAAGATATTGCCATGCTGATTTTGTAGTTGATATGGGCTACTAAAGAAAGTCGTTATGGTTAATCATGGGCTTACCGCATTGGCAAAAGTTATGTTTATTGGATTTTTGTTATGTAGGGATGTTTTACTGGCACACCATGTAAACCTAATCATGAGAAGACAAAAAAAAATCATAACTTTGCTTGATACATCGAAGAATGATATTTCAAAACTTATAACTTGGGTCAATAATTCATTGACCTAATCCACTGACGTCCAATTAGTGAAATATTATACAACTAAAGAAGTGTGAGATCACTTGGTTAAATTGTACACTCAGTCTAATTTACTAAGTAGTAATAGTTTGAGATAGATATTTGAGCAATCCAATAAAAATATTATGAGTGTCTAGGAACTTTATGTTGTTATGTCTGATTTATAGGACTAGTTGACCTTATAGACCCCAATGAGTTTAACTCATCCATGCCCTAAATTGTTAGGAGAGAAGAGAAATATTTGAACAATTCTTAATGGTGTTATGATAAGAATTTGAAGGATTACGTGAGCAATCCTTCACCGTACTTCAGTTTCCAATGTTGATATGGTTGTTCATGAGTTGATTTTTGAGGATACTCCTCTAGTCTCTAGTTAATAAAGGGTCTATATCATTCATTACCCTTTTTCCACCATGGCCTCAATCTACAAACAAGTATAGACCAACGCCTAAAGTTTCCTTTGATGAATGAACTTTTTGTAAATAGAAGAAGAACTGGAAATTCCAATGTCTACTATTATACATAATAAGGCAAAACAACAACATCCTCTCCAGCAAAACATACCATCTTAACCTTTTCATCCTCGCTCTTTTAGATCTCCCTTATAGGTATCTCGACCACCATAGTTTACTGTTGTTACTGCACCTTCTATAGTGATCAGTCATCATGTCACCATCAACTTTGGATCCTTATGTTTTTAGTTGTTCAAACGGTTCATTTCTTCTGATCATCCTAACATGTTAGTATTTATGTCTCATTCAAGTCTATATCGTACTATGATTGATACTTTGGTTTATATTATAGTCACTCATCCTGACATAACTCATGGTGTTTATATCGTCGACTAATTTATTACTGTTCTAACTTCTATTCATAGGGGACATGTTATTTGTATTTTGAGATATCTTTGTGTCAATCGTTTTGAAAGTCGCTTGTTCACTTCAACATCTTATTAGGAGTTGCATGCCTATAATGATGCTAAATGGGACGAGGATCCTACTAATTCCAAATCCATTATCGGTTTTTTTCATAGATATTCACCCGTCTCATGGAAAAGTAAGAAATGTTATGTTATCTCTCGATCTTCTACAAAGGCTAGATGTCGTTCTATGACCTTGACTACTTGTGATATTCACTTATCTCATGTTTTTTCTTGTAGATTTGGTTATCTCATGGAAAAGTAAGAAACATAATCTTGTCTCTCAATCTTTTACAAATGCCAAGTATTATGTTATAACCATGACTACTGTTGAAATTATTTGGGTGCGATGGACTCTTGAAGATATGGGTGTTGATGTTCATCACCTCCTTACATTGTAACAAAAGAGGTGTCATGCAGATTGCAAAGATTTTTGTTTTCCATAAGTGGAGGAAACATATTGATATTGAGTGTGATTTCGCTTTCTGTCATCTACAACTAAAAACCATTTCACTACCTCATATTCTCCCAGCTTTGCAGATTGTTGATATATTCACGAAGATTCAATCGGTCTATTGGTTTCGCTTCTTGACTGAAGAACTCTTAATGCTTATTACAATCATATTATGAGTTTGATTGAGATGTTAGCATAATAAGTTATTGAACTTATTTTATATTGGGCTTTTATTTAAGGTTAACTATATATTGTTTTTGTTGCTAGTCTTTATTTCCCTTTTTATTATTCAATTTTGTAACAAAAAGATAGTCCTAACTATTTTCTCTTTAAATTCTTATCCATTATATATATATATATATATATATATATATATATATATATATATATATATATATATATATATATATATATATATATATAAAGTGATTGATACGAATCGTCCCCCGTGCAGGTGTTAAAAGACACGTTTAGTTCATATTTTTTAAAATTAACTCAGACCGTCCCTCATATGTTTAAAGCTTGCACGTTTCGTCCCTACTTGGCCTAAAATGACTATATTTCCCTAACATGTTTCTTTTTTGATTTCTTTTTAGTTTTTTTACTATTTCAAATATAAAAACATATTAAAGAAACATGGACCCCAACACCCCATCACCCCTACCTTCACCCCAACCGTATTCTTCATGATGTTAACTCTGTTCTTGAGCATCGACCACCATAACCATACCCAAACCAACATCTGAAATTAGATTTGGAAAATTAATCCTATAACTAAACGAAACCAACCCAAAATATGCAATGTGTAATCAGTTGTAACTGATCATGGCGTAGACTGTGATGATGTTGGAGTTTAGTGGTGATGACAACATTCACCAGTGATGGAGAAGACTATGGTAGTGAAAATAACCCTGATTGAGAGAGAGAATGAGAGAGAGAGAGAGAGAGAAAAAAAGAGAGAGCCTCATCGAAAACCTGCAAAATCGGTGTACTCAATCGAAATATTTTCCCCACAAAAAACAACAAAGTCATTCCAACAAACCCCGTAGATTCATTTTTTCAGGTGTGGCATTTGATGGGGTGGATTGCAAGGGACAAAAAGATAGCTTGAAAGAGGCATAGAAGATCTATTAGCAGTCCATGTTAGTGGCTTGCAGGGGAGGATGGTGGTCGATTGGAGGTGATAATTATGGATTGGAGGCCATGACGATGGTTACTTGCAGGGGATGACATTAATGATTTGAAGGGGGGGGGACGATAGTGGTGTGAAGGGGCCGACGACCACCACTCTACTTTTAGTTATGGAAAACCAATATCCTATTTCCCTCTCATCAAGTATGTTTTCGTCAACTTATTTCTCTCTCTAACCAGGGATTTAGAGGAAAAAGATGGATGATTGTTTTTTTTTTTCGAAAACCACCCTAAACACCACCAGTTCTGTGTGAATCTTCAAATATACGTCTAATTTGTACAGCAGAGAAGATAATAACAACAAGAAGATATGGTCCAACTCACCTTAGGCGTGGTTATTACGTTCATTGGAGAGGTTAAAAACAACAAGAAGAAATAGCATTCTCTATGAGTTGTCATGTTTGAATCTCCGATGTTGCTCTACCTCCAAACCCAAATCTAAAACTCCAATCTGAAATCCAGATTTGAAACTCTGATGGCTTGAAGGAGAAGACAAGTTGTTTATGTCTTTTCCTAATGGAGATAGAGGGGATGAAAGGGTTAGAGGTGTGACCCATCGTCTTTTATAATAACATAATTATTTAAGAAAAAATAAATATCCTCCTACATTTTGTTTCTACCCATCCTTCTACTCATATAAGATAACAACATGTGGAATCCACTAATTCTCTCTCTTAATCACCTCTTTTGATTTTGAAATGTGTCTTGATCTGATGAGTAGAAACAAATGATAGGAGGATCTTTGATTATCTTTATTTATATATAAAAAAAAAAGTAAAATATAATTGATAAATGCAAAATAATAAATATAAGGCACCGTCTAAGTTAAGTTAATTTTAAAAAGACAAAACTGCAAGATTGGTCCCTGTGGTATTCAAAAAACTTTGGATTGTTGGATAAGGTGTCTAAGTCCGTAACTATATTTGGTATGTACTTGACCCGATCCGGCATGATCACCATTTGGGTTGCATTTCACCGAAAAAAAATTGTATGAATAATCTTTTGAGAATAGTATGTTTATGATTTATTTATATATTATAAGTTATAATATATTTATATGAAATCATACTATTTAATTTGTATTGATCAAAAATTAATTTGGAATTAATTTAGTGATCAAAAGAAACTAATTAAACATGGACTCTTATATGTGTGTGTGTGTATATATATATATATATATATATATATATATATATATATATATATATATATATTGGGCCAAAGTTCATTTAGGATGGGCTAAGCTTGCATGAATAGTCCATGGAGTTTTTAACCCATGGATCCTATGGAAATGAAAGGTCATGGGTATTAGGGTTTACATGAATGTAACCATAATCCACCATACTATATAAAGAGGTCTTTTGCACATGAAATGGCACTAGTGTGTGCGAGAACAAGGGTGGGCCGATTTCTAGAAGTGCTTTATATTCTCTCAAAGTCTTCCAAGTTGTTTTGGTGATTTGTGATTCCACTTGAATCATCCACATTATTGGTGCTAGGCTCTTGAAGCTCCAAGCAATCAACCACAAGAAAAGGTAAGTCATTCTACTAGTTTTATATTACAAGTACCACATGATATGCTAGTTAGGTTGAGAACCTTGGATAAATCAAATTTGCATGTATAATAGAGAAAACATAGATCCAAGGTTTCTAGGGTTGCATGTACACCATAGGAGTGTTAGAATGCTCAAAACCTTTCATGGATATGGTCCAAAAAGTTTCCAACTTGCATGGAAGGTCCAAAATCAAGAAATTCCTATGATTTTGGTCAAAAAAAAATTGAAAAGATGGTTATGCCCTTTTATTTTCTTTTTTGTATTTCTTACAATTATTATAATACTTTTTTACTTTAAAAATAAAAAGAAAGAA